TGCAGCAGCACTCCACCACCAAATAGAATGGGTTGACACAAACAGGTCTGGAAGACACAGGTAAGCTGCCTGAATAGGGGGATCACATTCCCGCCTGCTGTGCTGCCATCCCTTTCTCACCTACATCTTAGGGATCACGGGGAGACCCTGTGACCAGGTAACTAAGGGATACAACATTCAAGCTTGGTTCATAGATGGTTCTGTGCGATATGCTGGCACCTCCCAGACTGACCACCTGCAAGGTTACAGCCCCATTTATGTTTTTTTTTTTCCAGTACTGGGGCTTGAACTCAGTGCCTACACCTTGAGCCACTCACTCTTCCAGCCCTTTTTTTTCGAGATAGGGTCTCGTGGAACTATTTGCCTGGGCTGGCTTTGAACTGCCATCCTCCTGAGCTCTGCCTCTGAGTAGCTAGGATTATAGGCGTGAGCCACCAGCTCCCGGCAAAATTTCTTTTAGGTTGTCATGGGTTTTGAACTCTGGACCTTCCGACCACTAGGCTGGCACTCTAGGACTTGAGCCACCCTGCCAGCCCCAATTATGGTTCTTCCTGATGGACAGAAAGAAGGGAAATTCTCCCAGTAGAAAAATTAGTCACAAAAATGATCAGAAATATAAATAGTCCCAGTGCCGCCAAAAAAAAAAAAAAAAGAAAATTAGTTGTCCACTGATTGATGAGTAGTTGCTAACGACTTGACTACCTGGTCAAGGATTTGAAAAAGAGAAGGATTGAAATATTGTTGGTATTTCAACAGAGGCATAAGAGATCTAAGAAAGAGGCATATTGGTATCCCTCTTGGAAAGGACACACATTGTGAAGTTATTCCTGTCCAACACAAACAAGTGCCAGGAAAAATCCACCATGGAGGAGGCTCACAATCAGTTAGATAAAATGTTCTGTTCTGTGCATGTCAGCCAACCTCTATCCTGTCACCCTTTTCCTTGCCCAAAAGACTTAACAAAGGCCCATAGTGGCAGTATAGACTTCCGCCAAGGTCAATCTAGCTATAGCCACTGCTGATTGCTCAACCTGCCAGCAGAAGAGAAACTCCGAGCCCTTCTATGGAACTATGCCTTTGTGTGTGGGAGCGGGGTGTTTGTGAGGGAGCATAGCAGTACTGGAGTTTGAACTCTGGGCCTCAAGTTTGCTTGGCACTCTTATCACTTGAGTAATGCCCCATTTTTTGTTGCTTTTTATTGAGATATGGTCTCACTATGTAGCCCAATTGTCCTGGAACTTGCTACGTAGCCCAGGCTGCTCTCAAATTTGTGATCCTCCTGCCTTAGCTTCCTGAATGCTGGGATTGCAAGCATGCCCAACACACCTAGTTTAGAACTATGTCTTCATGACAGCTGATTACAGAGAGTGCAAGATGAAAAAAAGCCACTAGACCTCCAAAATTCTACTGGCTGGAAGCAGACTGGGTAAACCGGTCAGCTGCAAATATGTGCTACTCTTCATTTAAAAGGAAGCACAGAAGGTAGAGCCAAGAGCCATAGAGGATTATTCCCAAAATCTAATCTAGAAATTTCCATTTGTCCAGCTGGACTTCAGACCTGCTGTAGACCAGTAACTCCCTTTTTTCCCATTCCACCTTCCCCCTTTAAACTGGATATCTGTAACAATTAATCCTGTGCCTGTTCCACCATTGTATGTTGTGTTGGGAACTGATAGCTTGCCTCTTAAGATTTGTAGATCTACACAGAGAAAGATAGTATTTAAGGAACCATACTTAAGGAATACATTCATGGCACCTCATTCACACCTGAGCCCAATTTAGATGGTATTCTGGACTTTGAGGTGATGCTGTAATGGTATGAGACTTTTAGAGAACATGGGAAGGAATGGATTTTGCATGTGAAAAGGACATGAACCATTGGGGACTGGAGGACAACCATGGTAGTCAGTCTCCAAGATGACTCGCAAAGATTCCCACCTTCTGGTATTCACACCCTTATGTAATCCCTTTCCCCTTGAGTGTGGTCTGGACTTAGTGACTTCTAATGACTATTACAAAAGTGATAGGATGTCACTTCTGAGATTAAGTTACTTCTGTCTCACATGTGGGCACTCTCTCATTCTGTCTGATCTTACTTGATTGCCCTGATGAAGCAAGCTGCCATGTTGTGAGCTTTCGTATGAAAAGATCCACATGGCAAGGAACTGAGAGTGGCCCCTGTCCATCAGCCAGCAGGAAACTATCCTGCCCCCAGCCATGGAGGGAGCTTTGAAGCAGACCCTTCCCTAATCGAGCATTGAGATGACTGTAACCTCAGCTGCCACCTTGACTGCAGCCTGTGAGAGACCCTGAAATAGAAACTCAGCTCTATCATCCCAATTTCAAACCCACAGAAACTATGTAAATGTTCTAAGTCACTATGCTTTTGAGGTAATTTGTGACACAGCAATACATAACAGAGACAGACATGGAGGTTATGCATAACCCTAGCAATATGGACTTCTACCTACCAAGCCAGTCTGGCTATAGCATTGCTGAGTTCCCAACCCACTGACAATAAAGATCAACACCAAGTCCCCACTGTGGTCCTGGTGGCAGACCAGTTATTTTGAGCCCCTTTGGACATGCAGAACAGGACTTAGATGGGGAGGATTCCAGCCCCACCAGACTATGCCTGGACCTGGCCTATTCCATTGGGTCTGTTTCCTATGTGTCTGTTGGAGACGATGTGAAACATCTCACACGGAGCTTGGCACCCAGGAGGGTGCCAACAAGGAAATGCTTCCTTCCTTTTTCTGAAATGTAAGTGGCCCAGGGGCAAGGAACCTGTCTCTCAACCCCTCTTCTCTCATCACACAATCTCAGGTCTTCTGGAAAGTATGGCTAGTGTCTTCCCTTCTGGGCCCTGTTGAACGTGGTCCTCAGGCCCAGGCCTGGAGTTCATCCTGTAACGATGAACTTCATGCAATGCAGAAGTAGTTCACATGCAGTGTGAACTACTCTTTCTGTCTCTTTCTGAGTTGACTGTGCAGGAACCTGGCCGATAAGTACAGAGGACTCAGGCCTGGGCTTTGCCGTCCCTTCAGGAATTCCTTGTATAGATAGGAAGCTTCTGGGTGGAAGGAAAGAGACCAATACTAATGTTTCAGATATCACTTAAGGAACAGTGGAAGCGAGAGAGAGAAGAGGAGAGAGAGAAAGAGAGGAGAGAGAGAGAGAGAGAGAGAGAGAGATTCAGCCTGAGGGAAGATGAGGGAAGAGTTTGGGGAAACTCTTTAGTAGAAGTAATGTTTCTTCCCACCCCCTTGTCACCTGTAGACTCAGGCGCCATACTGACAGGAGTGGACTCTGGGAAGATGCAGCAAGGTGGTGTCTCTAAAGTAAATGACTTTGAGACAAGAAGACACCCTCTATTTCCCCAGCCTCATTCTTCCATCCCCCACTCATCTTGGGCTGCCCGGAGGCAGTCACTCCTTTTCTAGGGGAGTATCTGGGAAAGAGGGTCAGATATAGAACCAAAAGAAATGCTGGAAGAAGTTACACTGGATCTGGGTCTTGCAAGATGGCTACAGCTTCTGCAGAGTTCATGGGATATGTGTACATTGTGAAGGGAGTGAAGAGAAGTGCCAAGATTGGAAAGACTGTCTAAAAACTGGTAAAGGCAGGAACCAGTGTAAAGATCAGTAGAGATGAATCACCTTGGGTTGTTACACATTTGTACATAGAAGCAATGCTAGGAATCTCTCTGTATAGCTATCCTTAACTAGCAAAAACGCTTTGTCTTTCTTATGCTTATGTCTTCTCTTCAACAAAATTAGAGATAAGGTTAGAACAGGTTCTGCCTGGAAGCAAGGGGGGGTGGGGGGAGAGGGAGAGGCAGGAGGGAGGGGACGGCGTGGGGAGAACTGACCCAAACAATGTATGTACACGTGAATAAATGAATTAAAAAAAAAAAGGTGAAGGATGGGTCCATATCCTGGAGGAATGATCTCTACCGCAGGCTGAGCAGTTCTCTAGTATGGGAGTTGCTTTTCTACTCCTGTCTGATCACTTCTACCAGTGGCTGGCTACCTCGGAATAGAGTTGGTAGTGAAGTGTCAAGATTGAGCCCCTTTTTACTACTGTCCCAGATCTTTCTCTTTTGTTGTTCTACCCTCTTTTCATAATCAATTCCATAGAGGTGGGAAGACAAAAGACCAGTCTTTTCCCATGGACTAGAACCTCCAGTCAAACTGGGCCGTGTACAGGGTTGTCCACTTTTACTGTATCAAGGCCCAGACTGAAAAAACTGGATGAAGCAGGGCTGAGCCACAATCCTACCACTCAAAGCTGCCAGAAGAGGGTGGGCTTTCTCATTCATCATTAGGTTCCTATGAACTGGAAATCCTGGGGAAGAGGGAGAAACAGAGTAAAATAAACCCTCCACACATAAAATGAGGAGGGGCAAAATAGAGCAGCACTGTGATGACCTCCTTACCTAGGGAGCTCAAGACCTGGTGTTTAGACTTTAACACACCGGTGCAGTCCCTTAAAAGAAGGGAAAGGCCTTGAGGAGCCAGGAATAATGGGAAGCTAGCTGCTGTCGCACAGCCTCCATGTTCTTGCTTCTTCTATATCCTTATATAACTGGGGAGGCTCTAAACACAGAACACTCAGGACCACAAAGAATGTTCCTAGCCTTTAGAGGGTCAAGGATCCCTTTATGAGTCTGATGCAAAGTGGTTATTTTTCTTGCCTGAAAATCAATGCAGGCACCCAAAAAACATGTGACTTAATCTCCAGGAGCAGTCCCTAATCTAGTGCAGCACTAAAAGATAAGGATCTTTGAGGCTCAAAAGGGAGAAAATCTGTCTTAACTATTATGGGACCATTAATAGGCTTGAAACTATTATTCTAAGTGAAAGAAGTTAGACACAAAGGATAACATATTGTATAAGCTCATTTATATAAAACATCCAGAGTAGGCAAATGAGGGGAGTGGGAAGGACAGCTAAGGAATGTAGTTTCTTTTGGGAGGGTGATAAAAATGCTCTGATTTTTTTTTCACCGTGATGGTTGCACAACTGTTATGAAATATACTAAATCACTGAATTGGATACTTTATGTGGGCAAACTGTACAGTATATGAAATTTTATCTTAATAAAGGTTTAAAAAGTGAACTCAGGACTTACAAATACCACACATCTGAGCTTTAGTTCCCATTCATCAAGGGCAGAAAGAATCACTGGAGAAACATCAGAGATGGGGCCCAGAATGTGGCAAATGGGTTAGACAGGAAAACATTCTAGAAAGAATGATGTTGTATTTATAATCGACCTTAGGGGTAATGCGGCATCACAGACAGTTTTAAGCAGTAGTGACATGATCAGATCTCTACTTTACAGCCATCTGACTCATCAAACTACACATTTCAAGCAGGTGAATTTTGCAGGGGAACTATTCCTCAAGAAAGCCATGGGGTGGGGGAGACACTCCCTCTGGGAACAGGAGGATAGACTAGAGGGCACAAAGTTGGGGGAAGCTGTTGTGCTGGAGATTAGGCAAGGGGGCCAGAGCACACCTGTCTGGAGACAGGGAACTGGCTTGGGGAGGATCAGGAGTCCTGCCTAAGGTTAAGGAGAAATTGCTAGGACACAGATTTGGAACCCCAGGCTCTCTGGCCTCAGCCCTAGCACTCCCACTAGCACTACACCTGCTCCACTGATAAGTTAAGGAGGCTCCATTCTCCCCTTTGAAGAGAAATGCACTTCAGAACATGTTTCCAAAAAATGTTGCTAAGGGTTTTATTTCTAACAAGAGGAAAATAATAAAATAAAATTAAAATAGGCTTCAGTTGGAACCAAGTTGTTTTTTTTTTTTTCCTTTTCAACAAATTAATTACACACCAACAATCTTCTTTTATTACAACATGAACCCAGGAGGAGGAAAGGAGACAAGGAGGATGGGAAGCAAGGGTTGAAGTGGGTGTGAGGACAAGCACCAAAAGCCTTCTTCAGACCACAGGGAGCCCTGTTCAGCCCCCCCACCAAATTCCTATAAAATAAAAAAAACTTGAGCACAGCTATGTGAAGTTTCCTCCTCCTGAGTGGAACAATGGGGGAAGGGAGAAGGAAGAGGGTGTAAAAAGGTGGAAGGAGGGGAAGCGGAAAAAGGGAGAGGCAAAAGAGTAAGAGGGGAGGAAAGGTTAGTGTAGCACGGCCTGGCCAGGGCCAGAACTGGGAGGAGAGAGGAGATTCCCCCAGTTTGCATATGCACTGGCCTTTGTCTCTGGAATGGTGCTGGACAACCAGCCCCAGTTGTCCCCCTGCCCACCTGTCTATCTGCCTCAGGTGTCTGGGAATGCTGGTTAGAGGTTACCAGGGATAGGGAACTCCAGGGGCCGGCCCCCAGGAGCTGAGGTCTGAACAATACCTTGGAGTCAGAATATAAAAGTCAAGGGATTCGGGTGTGTGTGGGGGGTGGCCTCCCCCCACCCACCGACCTCCAAGAAGCAGGCTTGATGGTCAGAAAGAGGATCCTTGAGGCCAAGGGGGAAGAGAGGAGGGTCTGTGTTGGGGTGTGTGCTAGGCTCAGCCACTGTCACAACTGTTGCTGAGGAGGCTGCTGGGGGCAGGACATATGCAGCCGGGAAGTCAGAGTAGAGAAATGGGTTGAGGGGTCTGAAGCGGCCCCTAGCGCTGGTTCCAAACCATCCTGGTTCTCCAGGGTGCTGGGGCTGTCAGTGATGGGGAGGGGCACAGAGGGGGCCTCACCCCCAGTCTCCTCCTCCAGCTCCTCCTCCTCCTGGGCTTCCTCGGCCTCTGGCCCTGAGCTCCGTACCCTCTTTGGCTCTAGCTCCTCTCGGGCTGGGTCATCGGCCTCCCCACCCCGATCCACCTTCCGCCGCCGCCGCCTCTCCAGGGCCCGGCCCCTTGCTCGACTCCCATGGCGTTCTGCCTTCTCGAGCTGTGATCACAGACAGGCAAAAAGACAGATTGTGGGCCAGTAGTTAGGCCTGGGCTCCTTGCCTAATTGGGCTGACCTGACCCTACCCATGGCCCCTTTCCTCACCTCTAGAAGTGTGTGGATCCGCTCCATGTCTGGAGGCTGTCCAGCCTGCAACAGCTGCCAAATGCTGTGATTCTCATCTAGGGTCACCTCAAGCAGGTCTCCCTCCATCATGAGCTCCTCCAGGGGGGCCCGGGTTGCCTCAGGCAGTTCTAACATGGGGCCAGTTAACTGTGGCAACAGCGAGGACAGCAGCTCCAGATCTGAGGATTGTGAAGACAGGATGGGTTAGAGGCTATTGTTGGTCTTTTCCCCAACCACCATGACAGAGGTGAGGACCACATGGGTCACTCTGATGATATCCAGTCAACAGCCTACCCATACCACAGCTAGACCTACCTCTCTTACCTGAGCCCTCCTCCGTGGCTACCTTCTCAGGACTGGTCACGCTGTCTCCATTCTCGAACAAGCCCTGGACGTGCCAAGGAGAGCAGGAATGGGCAGGGGTAACTGAAGAACCAGGCCCTATTCTTCCTTCCCCAACCCCAATCCTAGGACCCTCCACCTCTTAGAAAAGGAGGCTCTGAAAACACAGGCTGCCAGCAAGGAGCAGAGTCTAGGGATGTGGACAGATGTAGGATTGGGCAGGGAGATTGAGCCAAAGAATACTGAAGAACTGTAAACAGGGATAAAGCTGGAGCCTCAACAGGGGTAGGGGAAAAGAGCTGGCAGAGTGGCTCACCTTAGGCATATCCTTGCCATTGCCCTCTCTGAGAGAGTCAGAGGCGAGCTCTGAAGAGTAGATAGGAGGCTCCTCAGGCCTGGGTTCAGTCTGTAGCCGTTGGCGGAGCTCCGCCAGCTGTCCCAACAGAGCAGTCACGTCCTCAGAGGCCAGAGCCTGTCTGGCACGGCCTTGCCAGCTGATGGCCCTCTCTGTGAGGCACTGCAGAGCTTCGCCCTCGGGCAGCCGCACAGGCAGTCTCTGCAGAGCTACCAGCAGTGCCAGGATGGTCTCCAGGCGTGGGCGCCTTGAGCGCATGCACAGTGGACACAGGAATTTGGTGTCCCATTCCCACCAGGCCAGCAGTGGGGATGAGGCGGGACTGGGCCTTGGGTAGCTGAGGAGGCGGGGCACAGTCACACACCGCCCATGGAACCAGTCCTGACACAGGTCACACTGAAGAGCTCCCACCCCTGCTGGCACTTGCCCACACACGCAGATAGAGGTTGCAGAGGAGGCCGTGGTAGATGATGCCAGTGGACTGGGCTTGGCTGAGTTGGTGCGACGTAGTTGCAGGATACCCTCCTTCTCCTTCTGTTCCCCCTCCTTGAAGGCCACGATCTGCCATGCCCAGGACATGGCGGAAGAGTAGGTCAGGAACTTATCCTCTTCCCTCTCTGGCCCTTCAAACACCCCACTCCCAAACCAGGAGAACTGAGGCTTGGGAGCAAGCGGTCTGCCCATGGTCACCCGGCTCAGACACTCTAACATTGCCAGGCTCTTTACCCATCTGTGTCTAAGCTCCTTACCACAGAGCCTGGGTCCCTGAGGTCCTGCGCAGACAGCCCCAGCAGCTCTGTGTCAGATTTGTACAACCCCAGCTCCTTCTCCATCCACCGGCTGCGCTTGGTACTGTCTGAGCCGGCGTCTGCACACGGGCAGAGCACCTGAGGCAGGCAGACAGAGGGGGGATGACCAGGCTTCTCTATCTCCCGCACACTCTCCTCTCCTCCCCAATGCCCCTCAAAATCCATGTTCTCATATGAGCCATCTCACAGAAGCCAGACCAGGCAAGGACAGGCTATAGATCAAAGTGCCAGGCCTTACCTCCAGTAGCGTGTAGCAAGAGTTCTTCTTGAGGAAGGTCTTGGAGGCCTTCTCCCTCCAGGAGTGTGCTGTCAGTACCTGCAGCTCAAGCTGTCTCAGTTCCTCCAGTCCCACAGGGAGGTCCCGGCCCACAGCCACTAGGCCCTCCAAGTCATCCAAGCAAGGGTAGTGGTCACCACTCTAGGTACAGGGGCAAGAGAAAGAGTTCAACTTGCCAATACCTACTGATGCTTACTCAGTGCACAGCTCAGGGCTGGGAAGATGGATTAGACTCATGGTCTTGAGGCAGAAACAGGAGGTCTTGTCCTCCAGAACACCCACCTGCCTCTGCACCAACTACACCTGCATCTCCTGACTGATTTGGCTCAGGACACCAGACTAGCTGTTCTGCTGCAGTTTGCCTCTTTTAGCCTCCTCCAGGCCTCTGCCTTTCCACCCCATCATCCTAGTACCCCCAACTTCCTTTAGGCCAGCCTCACAAGCTTTCCTCTCACTCTCTCTCCAAGCACATTTTATCTCCTCACAATGTGTCATACCCTTCCTCTCTGTAGCCCACCTAAACCAGTACAACCCAGAGTATGTGCCATCTCTTCCTAGCTGGGATATAAGGCCTAGGATGGGAGTCAGGGCAGGGTTCTCACTTGGATCTCATCCACATCAGCAATCCATGCTCGGGCCTTAGCAAGAGCCTCCTTGAGAGCCTGGATGTTGGGCAGGTGAACAGGGATGTTTTCTGCTTCACGGATTATGGCCTCAAGTGTGGCTGGTGGATGCTTCTGCCTAAAGGTGGGGGGAGGAGAGGAGGAAAAAAAGAGGATCCAGTCTGGCACTGTCTATTGACTCAAATCCAGCCTGCCACGAGACATATCTGCACAGGTGGGCACTTGTTATTCTTGCTGCTACTTGAGTCTACTTGCTTGTTTCTTGATAAAGATGGCTGCCAGACCCTGCTTCCTCCAGACTGCATGCACCTATGCATCCTTCTACCATAGCTCTTGTGTCTCTGCTTGTCTGCCAGGCTGTCAGCCTGCTGGCAGTGCCTACACATACCACTCGTGTGTAACCTATAGCTGCAGTCTGTCAAGATTATACCATGTGAGGCACCTTTCTATCAATATCTGCCTACCTGCCTTTGATTTGTGCTTGTTTGTGTACATGCCAGCCTAGAGCTAGTCCTCTCTATATATCTGCCTCTGTCCATCTCTGCATCTCTATCAGCCTACCTCTGTCTCTGTATACAGATTTAAAAACACAAAAGGAGGGAAGAAACTAACACCCACACAGGAGTGTCATGCCCAAGGCTACCCACAGCAGTCATTTTTTGAATTCTCCAGTAAACTTTGAAGGGTGGAGTAGGGCAGGGAGGGGAAAGAGCTGGACCTACCTGGCCTCCAGGCAAAGGTGGGCTTTCTCCTCCCAGCGTTCAGCAATGGTCAGTAGCTCCTGCAGCTCAGCCCGGGCCTTATCCACAGCAGGGCTAGGGGCTACACTGGCACCCGCCACCAACAGACCCCGCATGACAGCCAGGGTGCCCCTTCGGGCAGAGGGGGCCAGCGTGCGTTTTACCTCATCCAGCCACCGCGCCTGTTCCACCTGCCGCTGGAGTTGCTGGGCCTCAGGTACCTCTACCCCCAGCTGCCGCCCCCTCTCCAACAGGGACTGCAGTAGCCCTGGACTGGAAGGCAGTGAGGCCAGGGCCTCACGGGCCTCAGCCTGGTAGGCCTCCACCTGTTCCAGAATGCCCTAGCAGAATACAGGATGAATAACTACTCAGCTGGGCCCACTTAAGAGGTCCCACCCATCACTATACATACCTGTCCCACTACTTTTTTCCCCTTTCATCTTTTGGGAAAAAGAAGCCTAACATGGGCTGGGCTCTCCTCCAGACTCTATGAAAGTGGTTCCTAACACTGTGCTAATGAAGAGTGTTAAATGCATGTTCCTTGGGTCCCACTGCTAGAGATTTTTAATGGAGGTTAGTCAGGAATTTGTGCTTTAATAAAGGTAAGGAATCTCTGTAAAGGACTCTGTTCTCAGAGCACTGAGAACCTCAGTGCTTAACCCTCTGCCCTAAGAAATACTATGCTACACTTAGTCCTTGCACAAGTCCTCGTGTTCATGCTGGTGTCACTGCCTTCTCCATCTCACTTCTCCTCTACCTTCATGAATTTTGCTCAACTTTCCAGGTCCAACAAGCACCCACATTACCCCCTTCTCCACCTCCTCCAGGAAACCTTGCCTTGACTCTGTATCCTGTACTCATAGCCCTGTCCCTCAAATCTAGCCTCTTGACTCATACCACTCACTATTTTCTCATTTGTGCATCTTCTTTCACCCAAAACTTTAAGCTTTCCAAAGGAGTACAGAGTGGCCTGCTTGCTCGACTTCCTAATTCCCCTGGATCCTTCAGCAGCACTCTTGAGTCCACATCTCCTCACCTTGACATCCCCAATCTGATGCATGGCACAAGGCAAGTTGATCATCTGGTCCAGAAAGGCCCGAAGCTCAGCCAAGGTCATTTGTACACCAGCCACCCTGTGGGGGCTATGGAGTTTCACATGTGGGATTTCAGGTCCAAACCCAGTCCCCTCCCCCCATGTCTGTGCTAAGACCCAGCGCTTTTCCTCACTATATCTACTTGCCCTGATCTCACACCTCAGCGTTCCCTCAACTGCCCAGGTTAAAGGAGGGTTTTTAAATGTAAGTATTTTTTTCATAGAATAAAGGGAAAGAATTAGAAAAAAAGAGAAATATTTGGAGGAGTTACAGGGGGAGCTTAGAAACTTATTATTTTTCTTTTTTCTTTTTTTTTGTAGTGCTGGGGATCAAACCCATAACCTCACACATGCTAGGCAAGCCACTCCCTGGACTTTTCAATTCATCCTCTACTGTTCAGGTTTTCACATCTGCCCTATTCTTGCACAACTTCTCTGCCCACAAAATCCTTTAGCCTATCTCTCAAATCTCCTTATAAGTACTGATAAAAAATAAGCTCTTCTAACTATCTCATTGCTGAGAATCTCCTTTCCATTCTAAGTTGCCTGGCCTCCTTGCTCTCTTCAATACCTCTCGGGCCAGCCCACAATGGTGACTTCCTTTAATGTTCCACGTACTCAATGGTATTCAGAGTCTATCCCTTAAAGCACTTTTTCTTAATACTGGAATCTCAGCAAGCTATTGTGCTTCAATTACCTCATACCGCCATACCCAGCTTCCTGTCTACTGACTAGTCCCAGAGCCCGGGATACACAAGCCTCTGCCTCGCTCAGGCAATTCTTCAGTTGCTGCAACAGCTCGCTGTTAGGAAACCTCCGCTCACGGGCCTCAGACTCTAGTGCCCTCAGCTCTTCAAGGCCTGAAGGGAAAATGAGAGCAGCAAGGAGTAGGCATACTGAGTAAAGGAAGGGGGTCAGGGATTTGGCTTAAGGTTTTTGTTTTCGGGGTGTTTTTTTTTTTTTTCCTTTTTTGCAGTACTGGGGTTTGAACTCAGAGCTTCGCACTTGTTAGGCATGTGCTCTAGCACGTGAACCATGCCTCTAGCCTTGGGTCAAGGGTACAGAAAAAAGGGGAACAAAACTTGCCTATGCAATCCCTCTGACCACCCCCCTTCCCTAAATCACTCACTGCGTTTCCGCCCATCTTCCACCTCCAGAGCCACTCGCACTTTGTTGGCCCAGGTGTCAAAGGACTCGGCCCGAACCTTCAGCTTATGCAGCATGGCAGGGAGCTCATCCAAGGTGTACCGATACCTGGAAGAAGTAAATAGGGAAGAGTACTCTGGATCAGCTCTGTATCTTCCTCCTTGCCCCACTTCCTTCAAGTAGGCCTCAGGCTCACCGTAGGTACTGCCGGCTACTGGAGCACTTGCAGAGGTCATTAATGTGGGAAAGGCAGACAAGGCCATCTGGGCAGTCATAGCAGGCCAGGGCAGACAGGAAGCATGTGGTCTTGCACTTGATGCACTGACGCTCATCATCTGGGAGCAGCTCAAAAGCCTCTCGCTCAGCTTCGGTGATACCCTGGGGGTATTCCAACCCAAAAGTTATACAGAACTAAATAGGGTAGCAGAGACTCCCATTTCAGCCACTCTGAGCCCTACATTAAACTCAAATCTATGCTGAGGGTCGGGGCTTGGGGGATCAAATTTCACAGGGCACACTTGTCCTCTGTCAAGTCCAGACTCTCAAAGAGGGGGAATTAGGGCTAGGGGCACAGCTCAAGTAGCAGGGCACTTGCCTAGCAAATGCAACGGCCTGAGTTCAAACCCCAGAACTACCCAAAAGAAAAAAAAAAAAAAAAAAAAGGGGTGGGGAAGGGCAGACCAAAGCAAAACAGATCAGTGTGGGCTGAGGCAGAAAGAATTTTATGGAGGAAGAAAAATCAGGTTAAGATTCAGATCAGTACAAAGGGCCTTCTGGGTGAGAGAAAGTGGTAGACCATGGTACCAAAGAGGTAGGTACATACTGGAGAACAATGCTGGCTTTCAGTTACTCAACACTCATTATGTTCCAGGTACTGTGCTGCAGCTTAGCAGGCAGGAGACACTATGTGCATCTACAGAGCTTACAGAAATGCAACCAAACGCCATTGTGTCCAGGGTTTAAAAATATAGTCTGCCCCCCCCCCCCCGCCCAACATGACTTCCAAACTAAGCCAATGACTTCATCTACTGCTCAGATGAAGAAAAAGCAATCTATTTCTAAAATGAAGGAAAAACCAGCTATGCTGGAGTAACTAAATTGGAGTAAATGTGATTATAACAATTTTAGAGAATTTAAAGGGAAAGGTTGACAGTTTTGTCTTATATACCAACTTTAACAACTAAGTTCTACATAACTATGAGCCAAATGCAAATTATAAATCCTGTTCCACCACTTATTACTTGTATGATCATGAGTAAAGTATTTAAACCTCTCTGGGTCTCAGTTCCTTATCTTGTAAGATGAAGAAATAGTACCATCTTCATTGGGCTGTTATAATTAATGAGGCAACTAAGGACTTAGATAAGCATATAGCACTTTGAATTAAGCACTCAACAAATATTTATTGTTAGCTAATTTTTAGGTAAGACTAAAGATATGTCTCACCATCATATCTCATTTACTAAAGAGGAAGCTAAGTCACAGAGGGTCAGTAACTTGGCAAAGTTAAGATTTCAGTGCAGTCAACTGTGAATCCAAAGCCAGAGAATTGTGTGAGGATGAAGCCCCAGGTTTTCTTTGGAACATGGACTGTTCAGAACGGGACGCAAACTGAGTCCTTTCCTCTAAAAAAGCAGTCAAACACACACATTATCACTTAAGGATCCCAAGACTAGGGAGTCCAGAACCCATCTCTGACATAAGGGCCAAGTATACAGAATTCTGAATGTCAAGATAGGAAGATCTATCTATCTATACTTCTGACCTTGCTTTAACTCCTTCCCATAGTGTGGCACAGTCATAGGGCCATTATTTAATAACAGCACTGAACACAAAGACAAAATAATGCATGGAAAAAGCGCAGGGACTCACCAACTAACACAAGTGAGAAGCCTCAGACTTTCAATACTACTGTAGCTGTAACTCTCCCTACAAACCATACACACAGGACAGTTATAAATGAGCTTTAAAATCAGAAACTATTACTGGAAACAAGCAGCATGGAAATCCCTTAGGACCAGCATTCTTTTGTAATTTTATTAGTTTGTTTGTGGTGCTGAGGATCAAACCCAGAACCTTATACATGCTAGGTAAGTGATCTACACTTCACTACACACACCTCCAGCCCTCCTTTGCAATATTATGGAGGACTCTCACTAAGTTCCTTTAGGAAATTGAAGGTGGCAGCTGAAACTACATGAGGGGATTGATTTTATAGTTCTGAAGTAGTTGTGACTCAGCTACACACAACTGACACATGCTTATGAGAAATAAAGCAGGACCACTTTCTATTTGGTAACATTACTTAAGTGCTGGGGACCGAACTCAGGACTTGCAAGGCAGGCACTCTACTGTGTGAGCCACTCCGCCAGCCCTTTTCTGTCAGTTATTTTCAAAATAGGGTCTTGTGAACTACTTGCCCAAGCTGGCTTCAAACCTCAATCCTGATCTCTGCCTCTTGGGCAGAAGCCGAGTTCAAACGCAAGTCCCACAAAAAGAAAAAAAAAAAAAAAAGTTACTGATCTCTGCCTCCTGTGTAGCTTGGATTATATGCGTGAGCCACCAGCACCATGTGCGGTAACATTATTGACCTAGAGTTATTCAACTATCTGAATGTAATGACATAGCATTTCCCTTAGTAAAATTTTTATATTTTTTCTTTTTCTATAATATAGCCTTTTCTAAGAATTGTTCCATATTTCAATCATTTTCTTCATGTACTAATAGATGTTGCTACCCTGAAAGGGCAGCAACAGACTCTTTTACGTAGATCACCTCACTCAAGCTTTATAACTACCTTCCATATTAGGTATTTATCATTTTACATAGTGGGAAAGTGAGACTATCACTTAACAGTTTACGTAACTTGATAAGATGACCCAGATGATCAGCAGTGGGGGGTTTCATATACCAGCCTGTCTATCAGGGTTATTTGCATAGTGATGAATAGCAGCTATACCATCACCTGCTATGGGGTCAGTTACTGGAAAAAAAAAAAAACACACACATTATTCTTGATCGACTCAGTTACTCAAAAAATCACTCAATGAAGCAAACTGACTTGTCCAAGGTTGCCAGTAAAGGGGAACGTTGAGAAAAGAATATGGTTTTTAATTCAAATATACGAAGATTTTTTCACTATACTCTAACAGTAAAGGCTTTATCTTTTCCTTGGTGTCATCCATGTCTCCCCCAACATCCAACTAGAGTAGACTAGGGTACCTGACCCAGAGCAATCTCCCAACACGTACTTTCTCCAACAGAGCCTTTCGTAGACGCCGCTCCTCTTGCACCATGATGAACATTTCTTTATGTACAGCTGCTGCCAGATTCAGGTCCAGCTTCTCAGGGCAGGCAGCCATCTTGCAGATGAGTTCCTCATGAGAGAAGACACAGTATCTTCGGAGCCGGCGGTAGTGCTCGATGCATTGGCGCCCAGCTGGCAGCTGTGGACAGGTTTAAGGTTGAGTGTGGTCAACCTGAAGGCAGTGGTGCTTTAGCTTTCCCATAACCTTCCTGCTTCTCTCTGCCAGCCCACCACACTCCAGACTCACCCAGTCAGCAGTACAAAAATTGACAGCCTCAGCAAAGTTGTAGCCTTGGTTGAAGCCACTGTGGTAAGCACGGGGAAAGGTGATGACGAATTCTCCTGCACACTGGTTTGTGCGAACAACCTGAGGAACAAGAAATGCTAAAGCTATTAAGATAGAGGTTTCCAATCTACAGAACCTACCTAAGAGCAGAGTCCTTAAGGAAACAAAAGCTTCAGGAAATATAGTGTGACAACAGAATCCCAGGCCCTCCAACTCTGAAAGGAGAACCATCAGTCTGCTCTCAAGGTTCTGATCTGTACTGACAGATGACAGTATGATTTGAGTCAGACATATGAAATACACCTATCAAAATATTTTGACTTCCCTAATTTTTTAAAACACTTGTAAATATAATTTTATTAAGCTAGCCAAGTTTTTACATTGATATTTACTTTTAACAGTCATAGATGAAGTTTGTCAAATGGTTCTATGAGATGTTATAAGACCAGTAGGCCCTATCATTGTCCTTTCCCCAAAGCCAATCACCTTTACCTCTTCTGATTATTTTGGCACCGATCCTAACAACCATAGATAATGTGTTTCTGGTCTATGTTAGAAACAGTCTCTTGGGCTGGAGGTGAGGCTCAAATGGTAAGAGCACCTGCATAGGGGGCACAAAGCTGAGTTCAAACCCCAGCACCATAAATAAATAAATAAACAGTCTAGTTCTCAGTTTGCTTAGTTTTCTATACATATACTAGTAACTTAAACCCTAACTTTCTGACAAATGTCTAATTCTCCTTTCCTATACATTTGAACCTTACTATAGCACTCTCACAAAGACTTGTTTTTTTTTGTTTTTTTTTTTTTAATTTAATTTATTGAGACAGGATCTTGCTATGCAGCCCAGGCTGGACTGGAACTCACGATACTACTACCTCAGCTTCCCAGGTGCTGTAATTATAGGAATGTACTACCACACCCAGCTTCATGAAGCCTTCTGATCGGTTCTGATCTGAACCAGCTATTCTCCCTGGATCCTCATCAGATCTGTTCCCTAAATCCTATCTTTCTCTTTCTTGGTTTATTCCTTTGCTGTGTTTGAACATCTCCTCCAGTATCTTCCTGAGAACTGGTGGAAAGAAGCTTTTTTTTTTTGGGGGGGGGTCCTCTATTCTTACTCTCATACTTGACTACATGTAGAATTCTAAGATGAAAATGATTTTCAAGTCTTGTTCTAGTCTTTTAGAATCCAGCATTGCTGCTGAAAAATCTGAAGCCATTCTAATTTCTAATCATTGAATTAAACCTGTTTCTCAAGAATTTCATAGGATTCTTCTGGTCCCAGTACTTGATATAAAAATCCACAAGATATATCTTGATGTGATGTTTTTATTTATGTACTGGGTAGGCCTTTTGATTCTGGAAACTTTCCAGGAAATTTTCTTGAGTGCCTGCCTCACAAGCACAAAGCCTCACGTTCAAATCCCAAGACCACCAAAAGAAAAAAAAAAAATCATCAATGATTCCATTATCTTGGTTTTATCTACTCTTTTTATACGTCGTATTGTTTGAATATTGAACTTCTAGGATAAATTCTCTAATTTTCTCTACATTTTATTCTATTTTCTAGGAGATTTTCTCAACTACCTATTGTCTTAGCTTTTGATTTTTTTGGGGGGGGTTGTTTTTTAGTTTTTTTTCTTTTGCTATCATAATTTTATTCTCCAAGAACTCATAAGTATGTTCTCCATATGCTCTTTTTAATAGTTCTTGGAATGTTCTTTTTTAAATAATATCCTGCAGTACAGTAGTCCCACCTTATCCATACATTCCAAGTCCCCCAGTGGAAACTTCAGATCAAACCAAACCCCATATATGGTTTTTCCTATACATACATACACAAATTTAATGGGACTTTTTCATCTCAACTAAGTATTGTAGCCATAACTTTTCAGTTTGACATGTGACAGTAAAACCAGCACAATTTCTCTTCCCTTATAATTTCTAAGATAACACTTATTCTTACCATAGATCTTAGCAACCTCAGCATACAATTTTCTTAAGTTCAAAATTTCCACCTTTCATTTAAAGGAAACACTTCACATTTTCTCTTTGGCACATCTGAATTCCCTTTATCACTAATCTTGTGCTTTGTGGTCATTATTAAATAAAACAAAGGTTACTTTTTTTTTTTTCCATTTTTCTTTTATTATTCATATGTGCATACAAGGCTTGGTTCATTTCTCCCCCCTGCCCCCACCCCTCACTTACCACCCACTCCGCCCCCTCCCTCTCCCCCCCTCAATACCCAGCAGAAACTATTCTGCCCTTATTTCTAATTTTGTTGTAGAGAGAGTATAAGCAGTAATAGGAAGGAACAAGGGTTTTTGCTGGTTGAGATAAGGATAGCTATACAGGGCATTGACTCACATTGATTTCCTGTGCGTGGGTGTTACCTTCTAGGTTAATTCTTTTTGATCTAACCAAAACAAAGGTTACTTAATGTAAGCACTATCATACCTCCATAGTCAATCAGATAACTGAGACAGCTACCAGGTAAATAACAAGATGGGTAGCATATACAGCATGGGATGATTCGTGTCCCAGTAAGGTTAGAACAGGCTGACAGAAGAGTTCATCATGTTATTCAGAACAGCACATAATTTAAAACCTATGGATTATTTGGTTTTGGAATTTTCCATTTAATATATTTGGACTGCAATTGGCTATGGGTAATTGCAGAAACCACAGAAAATAAAACTATGTAAGGGAGAACTACTGTGTATGCTTACCTCTAAAGATATTAATGAGGTACTTTGCTTTGAAGTTTATTTTTCTCTGCCTAGCCTGTTTCTGCAAGTTGATTTCTTCCTGTTTGTGTGGTTCTATTTTATTTTCTTTGGTTATCCGTTAATCTGTGGCTACCTACTTATATTTAAGAGGAATAGACAAAAAAGCTGAATGAAAGCTCTAAGTACATAGGTGAAGCTTATCAACTGTGAGCTTCACCATTTAGTTTGTAGACCTAAGCCATTTAGTTTGGGATACTCTACATTCTACCTCCCACACCAATCAGATTTCCCAGAGAAACTCTCACATTTTTTTTTCCCTAAAAGAAAAAGGCTTGGCCTTTTCAAGTAAAGGAAGGCAGCTGAGAACTTCAGCATCCAGTATGTATACAATGATAAATCCTACTGTTTACACTCTAACTCCACCATCCACTGAACCTATGAGACCTCAATCTAGAGACCTCTGTTTTAATGTCTTCAGAAATAAATCTTCAGTCCTTTAGCCAGTCTTTATTTTCACCCCATTCTTCCTTACCCCTAGCTTTCCAGGTGCCACTGACTATAAACTTTTAGTGTCAAGAATTTTACCATCATGACTGTAATCCTAGTTACTCAGGAGGGAGAGATCAGGAGAACCATGGTTCAAAGCCAGCCTGGGAAAATAATTTGGGGGACCCTATCTCGAAAAAACCCATCACGACAAAGGGCTGGTGGAGTGGCTCAAGGTGTGGGCCCTGAGTTCAAACCCCAGTAGTGCAAAAAAAAAAAAAAAAGATAATTTTATCATTATCTCCTGTTTTCTCCATCTTTGTAATTTACCTTTTCAAAAAAAAAAATCCCTTTGTATCATTTTACTGGAGTTTCAATAAGGAATGAAAGTAGTCATGTACACATTTAATTTGGCTCTTTAGTCTCATGAATTTTTTTTTTTTTTTGGTGGTACTGGGGTTTAAAGTCAGAGCTTCATTTTTGCTAGGCAGGCATTCTACCACTTGAGGCACTCCTCCAGCCCTCACGAAGTTTTTAAAAGTTGAACATTCAATGTTGGCAAAGGTTCAGGGACATAGGTAAAGCAGTCAAATTCTACTCTATGAAAAGCATAAAATAAACTGTGTATGTGCTGAGGACTGAATCCATGTCCTCTGAAGTTACACTCTCACCTTATAAATTTGCTACTATCTATCAAGAAACTAAAAATGTGGGCTGGGGGCTTGGCTCAAGTGGTAGAGGGACTGTCTAACAAGCATAAGGCCCTGCATTCAAAACTCCTGGCCCATGAAAAAAAGAAAAAGAAACTAGAAGCTAAAATGTTTATACCCTTCAACCCAATCTGCCAGGATTCTAGAATAATTTGGGCTGAATTTACAGCTTAACAATATTAAGTCTTCCCATTCATAAATATGTATCTCATTTATTCAAGTCATGTATCAGTTCCCATCTCCAGTATATTTCTTCTTAAATCTCTCTAGTTAGAGACAACATCTGCCTCTAAGTATTTCTTGCCTGTATTACTGCACTTGGCCTCCATTACCAACTACCAGAACAGTTTTCAAAACAAAACAAAATAAAACAAAACACAAATCTGACTATGGCATGCCTCTGCTGAGGCCCTCTCCCAAATTTACACACACACACACACACACACACACACACACACGATAAAGCCACAACTGTGACAGGCAAACTCTTAACACTTCTGTCAAGGGCTACCACTTATACAAACCTATTCCTGGTACCCTATTCCCAATAACCCAGTCTGCAGCACCTCTCAAACTTTATTCTACTTGTTTACTGCTCACTGTCCTCCATTCAACTGTCCTCCACTCACAGTCATCCATTCAAAAGCAGGACATAGGTAAAGCAATCTTCAGGGCCAATAAACCAATAGCCTTGCACACAGAAAATACTCTATTAATATCTAAACAATCTAGTTCCAGACCTAATTTTATAGATTTGAAAATTAATTCCCAGAGAAGCCTCAGGAAGCAGAGCCAGGAGCAGAACCTAATGCTCCTGATTTCCTCTCAAGCTGCACTCTCATTTTGGCACTGTTACTTTATTGTTTGCTATGTGGTGGTTTAAAAAAAGCACTCCTAGGTGTGCTGGCACACACCTGCAATCTCAGCATTTGGGAGGGCAAGGCAGGAGGATCTCAAGTTCCAGGCTAGCCTGAGTACACTGCAAGACCTTGTCTCAGAAGACAAACAAAAACACCATTCTTCATGTTTTGCAAAAGTTGAAAATGACAAACAACAAATGTGAATAGCCAAAAACCTAAAAGCAACCCAAATGTTCATCAACAAGTTCCATAAAAGGAATGAAGTTTTGACACAAGCTGCAACATGGATGAATATTGAAAATACACTAAATGACAGAAGCCCTTTACAAAAGAACACATATTCTATTCATATTAACTGGCCAGAAAAAACAAATCTAGAAACAAAAAAACAGGTGAGTGGTTGCCTAGAATGGAGAGTGACTGCAATGGGCAAGAGGGATTTTCTGGGGTGACAGATATTTTAATATTAAATTATGGTAATGGCAACCCGACTCTGAAAATTCACTGGATTGTACACTTAAGATGGATGAACTTTACAGTATGTAACACACACTGCAATAAAGCTGTTAAAAACATGACAGTTATAAAATCATTCTAGACCAGCACTGTCCAAAAGAAATATGGTAGGCACATATGTACTTTTAAATTCTCTAGTAGCCACATTAAAAAAGTAAAAACAGGAAAAATTTCAATATATTATAACAGAGCCACAATATTATCACTTCAATGTGTGACTGGTATATACGAAAGTACTAGTGAGATACTTTACATTCTTTGTTTCATACTAAGTCTTGAAAATCCAACATGTATTTATACTTCCAGCACATTTCAGCTGGACTAATCACATTTCAAATGCTCAGTAGCCACATACGGCTAGTGGCTACCAAATTGGACAGAACAATTCTAGACCATTGAACTTCACAAGAGATTATAAAATCCATACACTAATTATCACTACATCAAAATTTATACAGAAAAACAACATGGAAACAATGAAATGGTTAAGATGGAGTGAATAGGGCTGATCCATTTTCTACTTTTTTAGAAAGGAGACATGTGTCTTTTCTAATGAAAAATGATACTTATACTACATATCTATAAAAAGAAATGGCCTTCTCCCATTGAAGGAGAATGTGAGACAGCAGAAACTAAAGAGCTCTGGTCCAGCTGGCTTAACTGCAGGCTGTCAGTATGAGAACATGAAATCACAGACACCTTGGATTGGGAGAATACTCCCCAATCTAAAAGGCCTGGAAATGTTGGGAGCTACTTAAAGGAGGGCAGGGTGGTGAAGCAGCAGTTGGCCAGGGAAACTGGTGAGCAATGAGCAGGAGAAATGCTGTGCAGGATAGAAGCAAAGAGTAACGTTTAAATTTCTGTTAAAGTTTTTTTAAAAAAGAGGTGAAGATTGAAACAGCTCCACAACCTTAGACCTTCTCTTTTTTTTCTCTCTGCATCTTTAACTACTCAAATCTTTAAGAGAATCCTATTCTACTCCTACAGTTTTCCCCTGGCTTTATAACAAGGACTGATGCTATGCTAAGGATTAGGAAAAGGAGTCTAAGGAAAGAACAGATCAATTGTCTGCTTGTGAATCAGCAGAACTAGAAAGGCCCTTCATCTTTTTTGTTTTTGGTGGTGCTAGGAATCGGACTCAGGGCCTCATGCATGCTAAGCACAGAAATTTACCACCGAGCCATATTCCTAGCCCTATGTGATCATCTGTAATCCAGTAATTCTTAAATGGAGTGAGGTAGAGAAGGAAAAGGATAGCCCCTCTGAGTGGAAGAGATGATTTCTGAGCTATTGTAGGATAACTTTTCCAGGTCCAATTCCCTAAATATTCCAATTCTTGGTTAAATATCATTAAAATGTATAACAAAACTATTATCCACAGAGTATATAGTATATCAAAACAAGGTGAAAGCAAGAAAAAAATTCCAGTGAAAACCACTGACCTACTGTACAGGATTTCAAGGGCTACCTCAAAGATATTTATTTGATATTTAACAACTACCTACCATGTCCTATGCATTAGAATAAGTGGCAGTGTGGCCCAGCATGATGGCACATACCTGTAATACCACAGGAGGCTGAGGTAGGATTGTCTCAAGAAAAAGAAAAAGAAAAAAATAAGTGACAGTGGCCAAGGCCAGAGGGGATAAAGACGAAAAGATGAAGGTGAATAGAGAGTCATAGTAGCACAGAATTAGACTTAAAACAGAGATGGAGGATATACTAACTCTTGTTCCCATAGTACTGTTGATCAGGCTGTTTTAAGATACACAACAGAAAACTGGCTAATACTAGTAAGTGCTAGAAATTCCCATGAATTTAAAATCCCTCTCAGTAAAACATTTTATAGGATAACAGAATTATCCAAAGATGAATGGGCCAGGACTCAAGGTTCAATTTTTTTCTTTTCTTTTTTTTTTGGTTTTTGAGACAAAGTCTCCCTATGTAGCCCAAGCTAGCCTAGAACCTGCAATCAATCTTCCTGTTTTAACTTTCCAAGTGCTGGGATTATAGGGATACACCATCACATCCAACTAGGTTCAACTTTTGACCTATTAAGTAAAAAGACATACCTACTGATCTGTGAAGTATGCAAAATATACAAAATATGGCAGAGGCCACTAACTGTCCTGATAGTCATTATCTTCTTTCATAATAATATGACTTCAGTTTGTAGTAGTACATTTCCCAGTTTTCCTTGCAGCTAGATGTGACCATGTGAACAAATTCTCACTATCAGATGAACAGAAGTATATGCTCTTAAAAGCAAGGAGACTCTCTACTCCTACCCTTTCCTCCATTAGATGGAATGTAGATGTGATAATAAGCCACCCTATGGTACTGCCCTCAAATACATGGTCCAAAAGGCCACTATCACATTGTTGTGTCTATAACCACTATGATTGCAGATCTCTATACAGCAGTCACAGCTAGAATTCAACTGAGATAGATCAAGAATGAGAAAAGGAGCTGGGCACTGGTGGGTCACACCTATAATCCTAGCTACTTGGGAGGGTGAGATCGGGAGGATCATTGTTCGAGGCCAGATCAGATAAATAGTTCTCAAAATAACCAGAGCAAAAATGGACTGAAGGCGTGCCTCAAGCAGTAGTGTGCCTGCTTTGCAAGCAAGAGTTCAAACCTGAGTGCCACCCAAAAAAAAAAAAAAAAAAAAAAAAAAAGAATGAGAAAAGGAAGGGGTAAATTTCAGGTGAAGACTACCACCACCACACAAAGGACATCACAAAATCATTCTTACTCCTTGTTCATGATTCCTGGTCACTCACCGGCACGCCATGAGACATGAGGGTATTAGGATCATGGGTTGACGATGAGTGACGAGAGATGGTGCAGGAGGTCAGGCTGGCTATCAAAGAGCTCAGGTGTCAGCTTCTTCATCACTTCTTCCAAATGTTCTGCTGCAAGCGAGGGTACCCCATACCAGTCTTCGGTTCACCCCTGATCAAATGGAAAGGGGACACATACAGTGTCATACCCATGGTTATTCAGGGAGCCCACCTTGCCTCTCCAGCTCCCAGGGCCCCACTCACCAATGGAGGTAGTTAATGGAGTAACTCA